AAGTATCAAGAAAATTAAATTATATTGCAAATGTAATCTATTTGGCTTGCATTAAGGGAATGATAACAATAATATATACGGAACCATAGCACCTTGGAACTCGGGTATTTTTATTATGTTGGATGTAGCGTTCAGATACTTTTGAAGTGTATGATTTAAAATTATAATAAATACTTAATTGGAACAATTTACAATTTGTAATCTTATAGATTATAGTTATATTATGTAGTACGTACTCATATTTCCTAATTCTGATACAAAATTATATTGTACAGACATATTGTTTGTTTCGTTATTTTGCAACAAAGCAAATTGTGTGTATCCGATCTCATTATTTCTATCAAAAAAGAAAGAGCCCATTATAAAAATAAATTCACACGCAATGCATTTGTCTTTATTTATTTCTCTAGATTAGAAGAGGACAGACAATATTTTGAGGCGAGTAATATTCGACTTTCCACGCAAGTAGTATATAGTGGTACACGGAAGATTTGTTGGCGACCCGCTGATCGGCGACAGCCAGCCATTTGGCAAAAGTCAAAGAATTGTTTGCTTTTGTAGTCAAATATTAGATAGTCGTAATTATATTTTACAATGGGTTCCTGCATATATATTTGCCTAATTAGTTAACTAATTAAACGATACATAGAAAGTAGTCATTGGATCTTTCTCATCATGTGAATTTCCTGATTTATTTATGAGTCTCAGTTTAATGGATATTGTGAATATGGAGGTGAGGGAGGCTGGAGACGGTGCCGCGGCGGGGAATACATCAGGCCTCCCTCAAGCGGTATACCTGGACCGAAGTGCGGCAAGCCGTCCATGACTTGCGGAAGGAACTTTCTTCCTTATCCGCCATGGTACCAATGGCTATATCATTCAGGAAGCTTGGTAACGGAAAGACGAGGATATACTTCCTGAAGACGCCGCAAAATGGATTGGAGATTACTTTGTTGTACACAGATTTGACTCTATCTAACCAGCCAAACAATGCAAGGTTAGTTCCATTGTATTACTAGGATCTTGCTTCGGCTTCGCTTGGGTGTATAAAAAAAGTTATGTATCCAAGTTTTAATTTAATTTGTTTTTGTATATGGAAAGTTTTTAAATATTTTTTTATTACTTTGTATGTCATTTTTAGTATTCTAAATCATACAACCTTTGTCCTGGCACTAAAGTAAAGAATTACCTAACCCATCATAATTTCTTGAACAAAAATGGTCAATAACAAAAGATAAAAAGAAATAGGACTTTGGCCATATATATTATTTTTATTATTAACTAACAGTGCCCCCCTTTCTCACCCCATGTAAATTTATATACACTATATTAGTCTCATATATATAATCTATATTACTGTAAAGTTTCATCAAAATTTGTAAAGTAGTTTTAAGGTGAAGAAATAACAAACATCCATCCATACTCGCAAACTTGTGCGTTTATAATATTAATCAGATTAATTAGACCTAGAGGGAGGGGGAAGGGTTTATTTGTAATGGTGATCCTATAGCTAGGAATGTAACATGTCAGGTACACATCCACATAGTCCCCCTTGGAAACACTGATATTTAATCTACAGCCTAAAAACTAAATTTCACGCTTCTAGCTTTAAAAAGATAGTACTTTCATACAATCTTTCATCTCCCCTATTAAGTCGTTACATCCCTTTTTATGCATTAAAAAGTAGCTTATATCCTTTCTCAGGATCCAGACTACCTGTGTACCAAATTTAATTTGAATTGGTATAGTAGTTTTGGTGTAAAACCGAGACAAACAGAGTTACTTTCATATTTATAATTGTATTGATATTAATGGAATGGTGCACCCACCTGTGCTAACGGTTTATGCTAGTGGGGCAACAGTGGAGGATAATAAGATGAACATGAGGTCAGGTCAGTTATCCCATCATGATAAATTCACCAGGAATTTGTCACAATGCTTTCCATGGGGTATGGTATGGAGGTCAACCTGACATGGCACATTGTTGGCCATCATCATGATGAATCATCAGTCGGCATTACTAACAAACTCCTATCCCTCTATTTATAATATTAGTAAGGAGAAGGATGACTAAAATAAACAATATTTACAAATAACAGACATATATAACAATTACTTTGTTACAGATTAGATTGGAAACCTCTCATAGAACCTGTCACACTGGGTGTGTCATCAGGGAAGTGGTCTCGCGAGGAGCAGCTGTTGTGGGAACGCCAGCGGGTGGCTGCATGGGGCATAGCATCATATGAACTCCACGCTAAGACTGGTCGTGTTTTGTTTCCATGTGCATCATCATTGTTCGTCGCTGAAGAGGGTGCTAATCAGGTTATCTTTAACTTTTATAAGTCACTAGCTGTCTCAGCAAATGTTTTTTTGTCATATAAATTAATAATGCTATAAAAAAAAGGGTTTGGTGATAGAAGAGTGAAAATTTAGGGTTGTATGTGTTTTTTAATAAAATAAAACAAAAAAGTTTGGGGAGAGCCACTCTTAACATTACATCATATATAAAATTTCATCAAAATCGGTCAAGCCGTTTTGGAGGAGTATAAACACAAAACCTATGACACGAGAATTTTATATATTAGATTCGAAACTTTATACGGAATATGGGAATGTCCCTACAAAGTTGGATACTGTATATCATTCAATTCGTATCCCTGACGGGTTCGAATAGGTAGCGAACTAGCAGCGTGCGGGTGGGCACAATAGATCTATACAGGTCTTAGCACCTGACAATAGCCCGAAACCCTCAATAAAAAAAATACGGTCTCTTCCAGTCGCCTCCTCTAGTACCCCGGTCGCTCAACACAAGCGGTGGTGCTCCGCTAACGCCCGCCATGTGTCCACGAACACCATCCCTGGTCGCTCACGCAGCCCGCGGCGACATCTGGCTCGCTGGAGGTGGCATACGGCGACCTACGAGGCTTACCTACGCTTGTAGAGGACATGAACCTGATAGGTGCGTATTTGTTTATAGTAATTTATACTTTTCACTGAGGGGGAAATGTAATGTGGGTGTTACATTTCCCCCTCGGTGGAAAGTATATTCCCCTCTGTACTTGTCTCTAATTTTCGTACAGATAAACTAATTGCCTGTAAGAGATTACTAATAGCGATAAGACGGCCTTTTGTAAAACATTTTTAATGTACTGTACTTATTGTTCCTTCTTATCACATATTACTGGTAGACACTATTCTCCCAAATTTGATTTTAAAAATGTATCTGTATTATTGTAAACATGTATAACATTTATTTGAAAAGAATACGCATTCAGAACCGAGCAGCCTGAATCATTGGTAATCAACGTCTTTGTGACAGACTCGACCCATTGGCTCTACGGCGAGATATTGCATTTTCTATTACTTATATCTTGGGGAGTGTTCTGAGGAATTGTTCGGATTAATACCAGCTGCTGAATTTCAACAACGAACCACCCGCCAGAAACTAAAATACCATCCTGATCATCTGGATGAATGGCGGTCCTCCACAGTGCGGTTTTCTAGAAACTTTTTGCCTCGCATAACCACATTGTAGAATCACCTTCCAGCAATGGTATTTCCGAACCGATACGATATTGAAACCTTCAAGAAGAGAGCTTATTCCTTTTTAAAAGGCCGGCAACACAATGCAATTGCAATTTGCCTGGTGTTGCGGGTGCTCATGGTTGGCGGTAATAACTTACCATCAGGTGAACCGCAAGCTCGTTTCTTCCCTATATTATAAAAAAAAAATTCTGATGAGTTATCAGGTTCCAGTAATCTACGCCTTTTTGAGGACATATCTTATCTGGTATAGGTTTAATGGGGACTTCATCTTTCAGGTTGGCAGATGACCCTCGTCAGGCCGGGGTGCCGTGCTACGTGACTCAGGAGGAGTTCTCCAGGTATACAGGGTTCTGGTGGCAACCCAAGTCAGATGGTGAGTATTCATTATTGTACGAGCGACTCATCCAGGATTAGTACGGATGAATTACAAATTTTTGAATTTCTCTACTATTTCTATACTATAACATGGTTGTATCATCACATAGTATAAAATGAAGTAGCTATCGCCGTCTGTCCGTCCCTATGTATGCTTAAATCTTTAAAACTACGGATTGTGAAGGTTTTTTAATAGATAGAGTGATTCTAGTGGAAGGTTTATATATATAATACATGAACACCCGGGCGAAGCCGGGGTGAGTAGCTGGTTATACATATAAACCATCCTCTTGAATCACTCTATCTATTGCTGAAAACTGCATTAAAATCCGTTGCGTAATTTAAAAGATACAAGGGAACAGGCAGCGACGGCGACAAGACTACCACGCATAGAGTTTGTTAGTCATAATAATAATAATCTCAGGATAATTCACACAGCGCCATCTAGACCTAAGTTAAGCTAGCTAAAGCTTGTACTAGATAACTGATACAAATACATAGATATTTTTATTTTTCGTAAATACATACATACTATACATAGAAAAAACCCAGACCGACACAAACAATCATACTCGTGAATACAAATGTTTGTGTCGTGCGAGGAATCGAATCTGCGACGATCGGACGTAAAGCGGTGTGCTAGACCGCTAGACCACCGAGGTCGTCATAAGCAGAAAGATATTTTTAGCTACTTAATTTTTAACCCTATTGTCCAGTTCAGAAGGTTGTTAAACAATTGACAATACTTAATAATGAAATAAATCTTTGCAGATGATTTGTACAGAATAGTGTATGAGGAAGTGGACGAGAGTGAGGTGAAGGTGTTCAGTTTTCCGTCGTCACAGACCAGCAGCGGGGAGGTGGAGGAATTCAGGTGAATATCTCCATAAAACAGTGTAGTGCTCGAGCTACAGAGTTTTATTGTCAATTATTACCACCAGGCCGCTCTTCCCCACTGGACTGGGCACGTGCCCAGGACCCCGCGATGGATTAGCGCCCCCTAGTATAGTCTAGTCCCTACTCTATTACCAAACGATAACCGATAGCTAGTCTACTGTCGTCTGATTGCCTCTTACTTGTTATACTGTAATTATTTAAAAAAAAACATCTATTAAAAAGAGCAACACACAAGTTTCTTGCTCATTCTTCTTGTGATGAATCTGCATTCCGAATGAGTGGTAGAATCAAAATATGACTATTCAAAAGTGCTTGTAATGAGTTTATTTCAATAAAGATTATTTCTATTTCTATTTCTGAAAATCTGTCTTAACGACTATATTAGCGCTTGCCGAATATGGTTAATTTGTTAATTTTTTTTATAAATGTCTAACAAGGACTTGAACCCCTCATCACATAACGACTTTTTAAAATTAATTTTGTTTGGTTTGTTTTGAAGGTAGGGCATACCCTTATACATCTTTAAAGAGTCACGTTCAAAAATGACTTTGTCTATTCTATCAAAATAGTGCTTTATTACTATGGTTGTTCAAAATATACCCTGTATCATCGTAAGCACAGATTATTATATTAGAGTCCGTTAGTTTTCTGTTCCCGCGTCTTTCCTTCCCCTCCCTTACCTAGTACTGAACCGACTGTACGGCGGCCATGACGCGCGCGCATTGTGTTGTGAATTAAAATAAATTAGAACTGTGAAACCTACTGTGAAACTGGAAAGCTAGCGAAGATACCTTCGAGACCCTGAAGCCCAAGAAATCCGCAGAACCATACAGGTACGAAACTGACGCTTCCACTCATTTTTCACTATATATATACAGAGAGTAAATTCCCTAACATTTTGGTAGCAGAGTAGTTTCCCAAACAATGGTCTAATGTGCCCAGGGCCTCTAATAGGTGAAAGACAGCCCTGATTACCCGGTCTAAAATGGTTAAAAAAGTTGCAAAAACACTCATCCTGTTAATAGGCTGATTGTTTGGGTATGGAATCATTTTATAACTTACTAGCTGTTCCCGCGACTTCGACCGCGTAGAATTTTACTTAATTTTTCTAAAATAAAAGTACTCTAAGTTACTCTTTATTACAACGGCTCCATTCAGATTTCAACGCCATTTCAGATTTTAGCCGGAACAAACAGATATATAGACAGACAGACAAAAATTGTAAAAAATGTTATTTGTGATATGATTTTTAAATATTGCATGAGATTGAGTGGATCGAATGGAGAGTGGTAGAGAGTTCCATGATATAATCAATTATATGACATACAAGGTGTCGGTTCATCTACATCGCTATATTAGTTGTAGTCTTACCTTACCTTACCTTATTATATCACCGACTATATGTTCCCGCAGTTTCACCCAAGTATACACTCTCATACTTTCCAAAGGAGATATTTCGTTTATGCATGAGTGGGCTACAACCACATAAGGTGGGTAGTAGCGTTTCCTATACTGCTTGGGAAAATAAATAAAAAATTGGTTGGTAAATAACGATTATTAAATCATAATAGTACTTAATAATAATAATAATAACCGGCGAAAGTCGAGAAAAAATAATATAAAAAAAAAAAAATAATATAATAGACTCACTATTATTTTGCGACAGATTTCCTCGCGCCGGCACCCCTAACGCGAAATCATACCTGAAGATGGTGACCTTCCGTCTTCAGCGCGCCGCGCCAGCCACTGTTCTGGACTACTATCAAGATGGTTCTGCAGATGCTGGTCAGTAACATTGTAATTTTGTTAAACCAATTATAGTAATGGATGCGAGCAGCGCAGGACCGATCGTCGTGGAGATCTGGGTCAGACCTTTGTTCACCAGTGGACGTCTTCCGGGCTGAAATGATGATGATGATGACGGCGAATGATGACGGCCTCGGTGGTGTAGTGGTTTAGCACACCGCTTTATTTCCGATGGTCGCGGGATAGATTCCCCGCACGGTACCAATATTTATATTCATGAGTATAATTGCTTGTGTCGGTATGGGTGTTCTCTATATATACTATGTATGTATTTACATAAAAAAAGTATCTATGTATTTATATCAGTTGTCTAGTATCCATAATACAAGCTCTGCTTAGGTTAGAACTAGATGGCGCTGTATTAATTGTTTAGGGCTATTATTAATGATGCACTCGCCTGCGCTAACTGTACACAGTTGACCTGACCTGGCATCAGTGGAGGATGATAAGATGAATGAAGTATTAGCCCATCGTGACAAAGTCACCAGGGATTTATCATAGTTTCCAGGGAGAACCGCGCGGAGATAACCTGAAATGCTACATTGCCATGGGATCAGCAATCCATATTAATAACAATCTCTTTCGTTCTTGTTGTTCTACGTTTTCATGGATACTCTTTTCCGCATGAAAGTCGTTTCGCATGGGAAATATACGTGTCCATGGGATAATTAAGTGTGTAGCTTGTATAGCTTTACCTACAAAGTTGATGGTTTTGTACAACGCGTCATACTCGTGAACGAATCCTGCTTGTGGGTCCCCACAAGCAGGATTCGTGGTGTATGCTCTAATCACTACGGAAAAAAAATGGGCTGACAACACTTCTCACTTAGGGGTATTAAAAATAGATAATAGGCGATTCTTAGACCTACTGAATAGGCATATAAAATTTCATAAAAATCGGTCAAGCCGTTTCTGAGGAGTATGGTAACTAACATTGTGACACGAGAATTTTATATATAAGGTTATATTCCATTCTAAAGTGAACTTTTGATTGTTACAGTATCTGAGGATAATGAAGCTATGGAAGTGACTGATATCCGATGGTACGATCTGAGGACTCCATTGAAGGAAGCGTTTCCATGGTTTGAATATCTCGCCAGGGTCGGCTGGACTCCGTGTGGACAGTAGTAAGTATTCTGACGAAGTTTATACCTGATCTCTCCGGCGATATCAAACCATTTAGCTTGATGTGAAACTTCACTTCTGAATATACAGCGGACTGTGTTCTGAACAATCCGACATGATGCCAACAGCTACTTTTTACAATCGTACCCATCGCCATCGACAGGGAATTCATTCTCACAGGCTGGAACCTAAATCTCGGACAGTGCGGTTTCAGCGGAGCTTCCTCTCGCGTATTAATACTTACACTGTCAAATGAACTAACTGCCGAGGTATTCTCGAGAGACTACAGTATAGGGTCTTTCAAGAACGGTATATTAAGGTTTCCTAAGGCTCTGCAAACGAGTTCATAGCACAAGCTCTTATTTTGGGAGTAGATGGCGCTGTGTGAATTAGATTAGGCCAGAGATATTTTTATAATGTTCTATTTTACAGCGTATGGCTCCAGCTGTTGGATAGGAAACAGCAGCGGCTGGAGCTAGCGCTGGTCCCGCTGAGCGAACTAAGCGCACCCACCACATATGACCACGCTCCGTCCACCACACTGTTAACACCCGAAGCGGATGGAGAGCACGTGAGTGACTTTTTTTAATGGATAATTATGGTATGATGTACCCCCCTGCTCGAACAATTTACGCTGCCGGGGCACCAGTGGAGGGTGATAAGATGAGCATGAGGTCAGTTATGGTATTCAGAGGGAACCGCGTGGACGCCAACCTGACATGGTACATTGCTAGCAATAAGATCATCAATCCACATTACTAACAATCACTCCACGTGAGTGATTCAAGACGTATCATCTTTACTGCTGCATAGTTATTTTTAAACTTTAGTGTTTAATATACAGTAGCTTTGCCCACGAGTTCATTCCGCGCGGACGACGAATGACGAATTTCCATACAAACTTTCATCCCCTATTCTATTTTACTCCCTTAAGTATATAATAATATAATATTTTTACAACCTTTGTCATATTTATTTATATTTAATCAATAGCCTAAAAAATAAGTTTCAAGCTTCTAGCTTTAAATATGACTACGTATACTTTATATAACCTTTCATCTCCCCTTTCAACCCCTTACAACCCTTTTCTCGCATTCAAAAGTAGCCTATGTCCTTTCTAAGAGTGTAGATTATCTGTGAATTTTGGCGTGAAAGTGAGACAGGCGGACAGAGTTACTTTCGCATTTATAATATTAGTAAGAAATAAGATTACAAGAAAGATCGCTGGTGGGAAGAGATAAAAGAAAAAAAGATATCAAAGTAGGTAATTTCAAAGACTCTGATATTAAAAACAGATTGTATTATATGTTTTTGCTTTTTGTCGTAGAAAACTCAAGATATCCAAGTGCTGGTGTCGGAGAGTGCCCCAGATGCGTGGATCAACGTCCACGACATCCTCTACTTCCTGCCGAGCGAGCCCCACTGCATCAGCTTCATATGGGCATCGGAGGAGACTGGGCATCTACACTTGTATCTCATCACGTGTGCGGTGCATTCGGACAAGCTGAAAACTAAATGTGAGTAGATACCTTTTCTATAATAAAGCGTAAAAAAATCAAGCAAAAGCTGAGTTAAAGAGACAGTAAATATAAATAATAAAACGCAAAATCAGCAAAAGCTTTGAAAAGTAGACAATAATAACAACCCTGCACATTTCTCTCCACGTCATCTAGTCCCAAGATAAAGCCTGTGTTATGAATGCTAGACAACTGATATAAATGCTTAATTTTTTTAAATACATACATAATATACGCAGAGACGCGCCAACCCCATACAGCGCCTGTATGCGAGACCTATCCTAAAAGTTGGTGTTGTTATTTGCTATAGTTTATGCTATTGAGTTTAAAAATAGAAAACATTAATTTCATAAATATCTTTAATAGATGGCATATGGTCTGAAATAGTTTTAGGTACTTATGTTGGCTTAAACTAAAAAAAATTGGATGGCGGCGCGCGGCGCCCCTATCGCCTTGGCGCTTGTGTGCGCCGCACACTTCGGACACAAGGGCGATGCAGCCCTAAATATACGTAGAAAAAACCTAGACCGATACAAGCAATCATACTCATGAATACAAATGTCTGTTCCGTCCAAAGAATCGTACCAAGGAACATCGGAAATAAAGCAGTGTACCAAACCGCTAGACCGTCGTCTATCTATCTATGTAGAGTTTTATTATATTTGTTGCAGCTGTAATCGAAATGATAACTGATGAAGACGCGACCGCCGTGGGGCCGAATATAATCAGCAAGGAGGCGATCACCGCTGGGGACTGGGAGGTCATGAGCAGGAAGATATGGGTGAATTGTCATAACTATTGTTAACTATCCAATGAAACACCATTTTTGTTTTATTTATTCATTTATTTCAGGCAACTAGGCCCATATTATAAATACCTTATAGATTCAAATTCAAGTTCAAATTCAAAAATTATTTACTCATGTAGGACATTTTAGCCGCTTATGTACGTCAAATTTTTACATTATAATTTTATTTTTTCCCTACCGTCCAGTTCGGTATATAGATCCAATTGAGAAGAACTGGCAAGAAACTCAATTGAATTACTTTTTTTTTTTTAAAGCCAGTTTATTTACAATGTATTTTATATAGGTGTCTATGTCTAACATTAAATGGAAATTCAGTGCATGAACAACTATTGCCATGCACACTCGTCATTCAAGTAATCGTTTAGTGAGTAATAGGCTTTGCTCAGTAAATATGATTTAACAGATGTTTTGAATTTATTTAAGGGTAATTCCAACATATTCTTTGGTATCTTATTGTAAATTTTTATACCTATTCCCATAAAAGACCTATTAACTTTTTCTAAACGATACTTGGGGACAGCAAGTTTGTCTTTAAATCTAATATTCATATTATGAATATTGCTGTTTTTTTGGAAAGCAAGCAAGCTGTTTTTTAGACTGACATGCATATAATTTAATATATAAAAACTAATATATTGATATTGTCTGTGAGGTCACGGTATTGAAAGCGGCAATCTGCCACGGTAGCGCCGGTATACCGCACCTTTCGGCCAGTAGTCCTCCTTCATGACGATAGGCAGCATGTCAGTGGGGACCCGGGCCTCAAACTCCTTGAAACTCGCGTTGTGGCTCGACTCCAGCTGCGTCACCCTCAACGACAGATTACTCATTGAGGGTAGTGTGTAAAAACTGCGATTGTTAAGCCTATGCTGTAAATAATATAAATGACGTAGTGGAGTAACTTGAAACAGTCATGCTCGCTATAAAGTTCAAACCTGTGGCGGCATGGTGGTTCGGGTCGATGTGCTCTAATATGGTTGAGTGCAATGATGGCTGGCTCATCCGTCATACTCGTGAACAGGTGCTGCTTGTGAGGACTGGTCTGTTCAGGTTACGAACACTGATTAGACTTTTTGTTTTTGCAATAGCATATGCTGGTGGTCACTCTTTTCACCCAAATTTTAATATAAAAATGAAACTGTAATATAAACATCTACCAGCTCATATTGTCAGTTCTTCTTATCTCGAACTGACGGTAGATTTGACATATCATAAGAGTCTGTAATAGACCTACATGAATAGAGATATTTTGAATTTTGTAGGTGGACGAGGCTCGCAAGCTGGTATACTTCGTAGGGCTCCGCGAGACTCCACTGGAGCGCCATCTGTACGCGGCCCCGTTGGCCGCGCCGCGCCCTCATGCGCCCACGCTGCTCACCTCCGTCGGACACTCATGCAACGTTGATATTGATGAGGTAAGTTCCAATATGTCTAACAAGCTAACGGTACATTTGATGGTGGATGGTAACCGTCGCCTATGTACTTGAACAATGAAAAAACTAAAATAAAATAAAAAAAATATAAAACCAGTCCTCAAGTAAAGCTTGTAAAAAAATTTGAATTTTACTAAACTGTTAAATAAGACGGTAATTCGACGGTATGAACGTAAAAAAAAACAATATAAATATATTAAAAGAAGTAGATAATAAAAAAAAAAATTTAAAACCACTCCTCAAGTAAGCTAAGTACTTAAGTTAGGATATCAGTGTAACGTCAAACAAGCAGACTGTCCATTGGATAGTGGATGGTAACCGTCAATTATACACATGATCAGAAAAAAAAAAACAAAGAAAGTAAAGAAATATTAAAACAAAACTTTAAGTAAGGTAAATACTTAAGTTAGGATATCACTATAATGTCAAACAAGCCGACGGTCCATTTGATGGTGGATGGTGACCGTCGCCTACAGGTATACATGAACAGCAACAAAAAATCCCGTCCTCAAATGAAGCAAGTACTTGTAAGAGAAGTTTGAATGTCAATACAATGCCAAACAAACAGACAATCAGGCCAATAATCTGACGGTATGAACATAAAAAAATGAATATATATGATTAAAAATAAATAATAAAATGTTTGCTTGGCTTATTTTGGATGACATGGGGGGTAGGGGGGTCGAGATTATGATTACGTCATCGGTAGTCATTTACTCTGCGTGATCGAATCAGAAATGAGGAGATCCGCAGAAGAACCAGAGTGACCGACATAGCCCGAAGAATTGCGACTCTGAAATGGCAATGAGCAGGGCACATAGCTCGTAGGACAGATGGCCGTTGGGGCAGTAAAGTCCTCGAGTGGCGATCGCGGACCGGAAGACGCAGCGTGGGAAGGCCTCCAGCAAGGTGGACCGACTATCTGGTCAAGATCGCTGGAAGGCATTGGATGTGAGCAGCGCAGGACCGATCGTCGTGGAGATCTTTGGGGGAGGCCTATGTCCAGCAGTGGACGTCTTCCGGGCTGCGACGAAGTCATTTACTTTTTTACACGAATGGCAACCCTCACATTGTCTTTGCTAAAAAAACAATACATTAATTACAAAATGTTTATGTAATCATGGGGCAAGGGGGTAAAAGCTTTGCTTACTTTTGCTGGCAAGAGGGATGGAGGGGGTAAATAATTGTAATAAATCTGCTTACGTAATACTTGAACGAATTCTCATGAACTAGTCGACTAGTCGATCCATCGGATGCTTCTCATGTATTTAATCTTTATGCAGGAGTGTACAACGGCCGTCATCACATCATCGAACATCAGCAGCGTGCCCACCACCAGGGTTTACCGCCTGCTCCACGAACAACACCAGCAGCCACGACTCCTCGCACAGGGTACTCTTCTGGAACGACCAGCGTCAGGTATTGGACCTATGCATAACTTGTGAAATACCATTCAAAATTCAAAATTCAAATTTTGAAATTTGAATAGATGTAAATAATAATAATAATAATCTCAGGACAATTCACACAGCCATCTAGACCCAAGTTAAGCTAGCTAGAGCTTGTGTTATCGGTACTAGATAACTGATACATATACTTAGATATTTTTTTTTGTAAATACATACATATTATACATAGATATTTTCCCAATATTTCCCAGACCGATACAAACAATCATACTCATGAATACAAATGTTTGTGCCGTGCGGGGAATCGAACCCGCGACCATCGGTCGTAAAGCGGTGTGCTTAACCGCTAGACCACCGAGGTCAATGAAATCGTCAAGGTCGTCAAGATGTTAAATCTATAAATAAGTATATAACCCTGGACAATTAACAGCGCCATCTAGTCCCAAGTTAAGCAGAGCTTGTATTGTGGGTTGAATAGAAAATGTGTTTTTTGTCCCACAGCGCCACGGTGGTCACAGATGACCGAAATGAAATTTATTATTTTCCTGGAAAATTTCAATCCCAAATTAAAAAATAAATACGTTATAATGTTTATCGATGTCATAAAAGGATTTTTTTTCATACAAAAGAAAAAGTATTTTTGTCATTTTTAAAATGGTGTTTAACGTGTTAATGTTATAAATGCGAAAGTTAGTGAGTATGGGTGTTTGTTACTCTTTCAGGCAGAAACTACTGAACACATTTTAATGAAACTTTAAAGTAATGCAGCTTATACATCAGAATAATGTATAGACTGTAGATTTCACGCAGCTGAAACCGCGGACACAGCTAGTATTATAAATGCGGAAGTTTGCAAGTGTGGATGGATGGATGTTTGTTACTCTTTCACGCAAAAACTACTGAATGGATTTTAATGAAATTTCACAATAATGCTAGCTTATACATCAGAATAACATAGGCTATAGACAGCGGGCGCAACATATATGTAATAATTGCTTAATGTATATAACAGAAGGTTCAGACACGCGGAGTTTCAACGGCTCATGGGACAGCCGGTCAGAGGCAGACGACGAATGTGGCGACTCCGCACCACTCGTCAGAGGTTAGTTTTTTGAGGGATAATTATGGAATGGTTTTGTTTTTATACTACGATTGTGGCGAACGGCCATATGCCGGTAAACGGTCACCGTAGTCTATGGACGACGGAGACAACAGGGGTGTCACGTGCGCGTTGCCAACCCTTAAAAAACTTAATGTTCTTGAAGTTCTTGAAAGTTCCCTTAAAATTCTTGAAAAACCCCATGTTGTAGTCTCTCGAGGAAACCTTGGCAGGTAGACCAGGTTATTCTACAATAAGTACGCGAAAGGAAGCTCTGAAACGATACTTTCCGAGACCACAGGATGGTAGACTGAACATAAGGTCAGATCATTTGGCCCATCGTGATCAATTCACCAGAAGGTTATTTCTGAGGATCCTATAAAAATCGATAAATCAAATCAATTTCCATTAATGCCACGACACTAAGAAATACAAAAACAACATTTATAATATAGGTAACTAATTACCCGCCCTGGATTTACACGGGACGTATTATACATATAAACCTTCTTCTTGAATCATTCTATCTATTACTAAATAAACACTGCATTAAAAACTGCGTAGTTAAAAAAATGACGATATATTCATATCCTTTTTCGACTGCTTACAACATTTTTTTCGCAATAAAAAAAAGCCTGTGTCCTTTCTCAGGGTTTAGACTATCTGTGTATAAAATTTCATTTAAATCGGTTCAGTAGTGTTGGCGTGATAGCGCAACAGACATAGTTAATAATATAAAAGCGAAAGGTTGTAAGTATGGATGTTAATTACTCTTTCACGCAAAAACTACTAAACGGATTTTGATAAAACTTTACAGTAATTTAGCTTACTAGCTACTCGCCGCGGCTTCGCACGGGTGTACATGTATTATATATATAAACCTTCCTCTTGAATCGCTCTATCTATTAAAAAATCGCTTCAAAATCCGTTGCGTAGTTTTAAAGATTTAAGCATACATAGGGATGGACAGACAGCGACAGCGACTTTGCTTTATACTATGTAACGATACATCATAATAACACATAGGCTATAAATTAGACACGGGCGAAGCCGCGGTCACAGCTAGTTTATAATATTAGTAATGATGTCATAATTGATTCCAGAAAATTCTCTGAGTGCATGCGACATACCTCCACCTCAAATATACGAGACGCGTCTGTCGTGTGGGGCGGCGGCCTACTGCACGCTGTGGCGCTGCGGCCGCCCGGGGCGGAGCCCCACCGTGCTGCACGTGTACGGCGGGCCCGAAGTGCAGACCGTCACCAACAGCTACAAGGTACACTCACTACATGCCTATCGATGGTATTTCAATATTTTATTGTGTAATACATGCATGCTATAGTTATATTTTTAGTTATGCATGCCCACCGGTGGGTCACTCCGTAACGAAAGTGAATTTACACGTTGGGACCGGGTGATCACACGTGGGCACTTCTAAATATATATAACTCAAAGGTGACTGATGACATAGTGATCTATCAACGCACAGCCCAAACCACTGGACGGATCGGGCTGAATTTTGGCATACAGGTAGATGTTATGACGTAGGCATCTGCTAAGAAAGGATTTTGATTCATTCTACCCCCAAGGGGATAAAATAGAGGGTGAAAGTTTGCATGAAACTTTGTCAATTTTAAACTGATCATGCTGAGACTTTGCGTGCATAAAGCTACTATGACGTAGGCATCCTCTAAGAAACGATTTTAATAAATTCCACCCCTAAGTGGATAAATTAACGCGAGCGAAGTCTCGGGCAAATGCTAGTTAATAATAGGGGTTAAATAATGTCTAATTCAAATTATTGTACACTAAAAACATATTTAAAAAATAATATACGCAATTAACAATAAAATGTGGGATGTGGGAAATAGGATTTTTCAATGCGGTCTTCAAGGTTTTAACGCAGTTTTCTCGTCTTGTTCTGTACTATAACACGCATGTATTATACATATAATTTATCCCCTTGAATGACTCTATCTATTGCTGAAAACATCATTAAATTCCGTTGCATAATTTAAAAGATGTAAACGAATAGACAGCGGCTGTGACTTTGTTTTATATGATGTAAAGGTAAATCGTATTGCGTTGTACGCCTCTGTGGGAATTGTACTGGGTTATCTAATACTAGTTGTGCCCGCGGTTTCAACCACCTTAAATTTCAATAAAAATTATAGCCTTTGTTATTCTGATGCAAAAGCTGTATTACAAATTTTTTTTTTATTGGGATGTTTGGGCTATTGTCAGGTGTTTGTAGCACCTGTAGCACTGCGACCTACATAGATCTATTGTGCTCGCCCATTTTCAAAGTTCGCTACCTGGCATCGTATTACTGTAAAGTTTCAACAAAATCCGTTTAGTAGTTTTTGCGTTAAAGAGTAACAAACATCCATGCTTATAAACTTTCGCGTTTATATTATTAAGATAAGATTTCTTACAGTTATCTAGTACCCACGACACGACCTTTTCAACATGTCTAATATTATCTGCAGGGCATCCGTCAGCTTCGCATGCATATGCTAGCAGCGAGAGGCTTCAACGTGGTTGCTGTGGATTCGAGAGGGTCCAAACACAGGGGTCGAGCGTGGGAGGCTGCCATCAAGGGCAAGATGGGCCAGGTCGAGTTGGATGATCAGGTCAGTACTGTACAGCATCTATGTTACTTCGGAGACAAGAGTTACGACTAGTTGGATGATCACTCTAGAGCGTCTGTGTAAATGCGGATACCAGAAATAGAAGTGAAAGGCCGGATTTCACCAAAGTAACTAATCTCGTTTATTTCGAACTGAATTCGATTAAAACTTTTAAACGAGTTCAAAGCTTCATTTTGCTACGCTACAATATGAATTAATTTTCACTAAACTCGTTTACAAATTCTGAACGGTCGATTTCCTACTGTAAACTCTTTAAACGTGTTTCATTTTGCATTTCTCCGATAATCTCGACAATCTGACTAGTTTTCACTAAACTCGTTTACAAATTCTGAACGCTCGATTACTTACGGTTAACTATTTAAACGTATTTAAAACAGCTGTCACTTGTGAAATAGTCATCAATTAAATTTTTGACAATATAATATCGGGAATAAAAAGAAAATAGTCAGTAGTGTAAAAAAATCCTCAATAAAATAATGTTTATTTTGTTTATATGTAACTACATACATGCCCCGCCTTCGCACGGGTGTACATGTATTATACATATAATACTTCCTCTTGAATCACTCTGTCTATTAAAAAAAATCCGCTTCAAAATCCGTTGCATAGTTTTAAAGATTTAAGCATACATACGGAAGGACAGACAGCGACAGCGACTTTATTTTATACTATGTAATGAAGATTGTTGTTATATATTTTGTAGTCAACGATACTTATTAAATTAAAAACAAAAAGAACTTATCCTAATTATCACATGATTGAATTACAAGTATTTCTTGAAATTATTTTAGTTAAATTACCCATTGCGTCAAATATTATTTTATGACCGTGTAACACTGTGAACGAATGAAAATCTAAACTTGGTTTTGGTAAACGCGATCTATGTAATGTTTAAAGTAAAACGAGATCAACGTGGAGCTTTTTTTTCGAGTTTACGCGCTTGGTGAAACCCACCCCAAATATTAACATATTAAAATAATAATTAATAAATATTACAAAGAAATAACTTTATAAGTAAGAGATTTCTTTAAGCGTTAAGGTTGCCTTTTCTTTGGCAGATTTATATAAAGTTATTCATTTGTAATATATTTGTCAGCAGCAGATTAGACATTGAAATTTCAGGACAAATAGCATGATATTTAGTCTTTTGGAATTGTAAGGCATGAGTGTTACATGATAACGTGAGGTGCTGTTCTATGGGAAAATAATTATATCTCTCGATCAGTCGCGCTTTCACGCCAAAACTACTGAATCATTTGAATTGAAGTCTAGACTTGTGTTGTTTGTACTCACAATTCCCTTCCCACTAAAAATATATATTGGTTTGTTGCCAGGTGGAGGTGCTACAGTGGCTCGCGAAGGAGACAGGTTGCATCGACATGGAACGCGTCGCGATACACGGCTGGAGTTACGGTGAGTGTTATATATATATCGTCGGTTAAATACAAAAATGGCAGTATTCAAAATATACGTTTTTTTGCTAGACAAGCATTTAAAGTTTTTAAATTTATTTTATTTTATCCTTTAAAATTTAAAATTTACACATAAGTATTATATATTATTTTAAAAGTATTTAGATAATGATTAAGACAGCGTGGTTAATTTAATTGACTTATATAAAAGGAGACAATTCTAGCTGTTAATTTTGCAAAATGTAATTTTTCAATTTAATCGACGATATATACATATCTTACTAATATTATAAAAGAGAAAGTTTGTGAGTATGAATGGATGTTTGTTACTATTCCACGCAAAAACTACTCAACGGATTTTGATGAAACTTTACAGTAATATAACATTAACACATAAGCTATAATTTATAAAGATATTATGTAAATTAGGTGAAATTAATGATAAATGTCAAATAAGTGTGATGCAGACGAAGTTGCGCGAGTCAGCTAGTATATATATGTATATAATTATTTCATAGTATAGCGGACAAACCAATTTGGATCTCACCTAATAGTAAGTAAATACCGCCGCCCATGAGCACCCGCAACACCAACGAATTTACAATGCCATGCAATGTTGCCGGCCTTTTAAGTAAATGTAATTTCTATCGTAAATGGGTACCGTAGTCTATGGTCGCCTGAAACACCGGACACCCTTAAGAAACATTAATATACGTCTTGTAAAACCCCATGCTGTAGTCTCTGGAGAAAACCTTAGCAGGAAGTTCATTCCACAATCTAAGTGTACGCGAGAGGAAGCTCCTCTGAAACCTTACTGTCCGTGACTTAGGTTTCAGCGTGTGGGTATGAATTCCCTGTCAATGGCGAGCGATACGATGGTAAAAGGTAGTCGTGGGCATCATATCGAACAATTTTTAAGAACACAGTCTGTTGTATATTCCGAACACACAAAACGAAGTATGTGTTGCTTCAGTTAATGAGTTCCATTGAAAATTCAAATCTAAAATATTTTTATTCATGTAGGTCTATTACAGACTCTTATGATATGTCATCATATTTTATTTATGTTTGTTCTGCCAACAGGCGGTTATCTGTCGCTGCTGGGGCTCGCGACGCGTCCCAACATATTCAAGGTGTGCGTGGCGGGGGCTCCGGTGACGTCCTGGCGGCTCTACGACACCGCCTACACCGAGCGGTACATGGGGCTGCCGGCCTGCGCCCCCCACGCCTACACGAGGGCTTCGGTGCTTGCACATACGCCGTTCTTCCCGGATCAGTAAGTTGGGTTGCTTTTTGGGGTAAATAGGGTAATTTTGGGGGTAGATCAGGGTAATTTCAGGAGTCGGTCATAGTAATTTTAGGGGTCGGACACCGTAATTTTAGGGGTAGATCAGGGTAATTTTGAAGGGTAGGTATGGTAATTTTGGGCGTCGATCACGATAATTTTGGGGGTGGATGAGGGTAAATTTTAGGGGATAGTGTTATCTTGATGGTCAACTCTGTACTAAAATTTCGGTGCTTGCCCGTAACATCCCGGATCAGTATGTTGGGTTACTTTTGGTGGTTGATCAGGGTAATTTAGGGGGTCGATTGTGTTGTCTTGATGATCAAGCATACACTAAGACTGCAATGGCCTGTACACCATTCTTTGGAGACCAGTAAGTGGGGTTACTTTGGGGGTCGTTGAGAGTAATTGTGGGGGTCAGTAGTGTTGTTTAGTGATAAAGCCTATTAGATTATTTATTTAATTTTTTTATACTCAATAGTGGCAAACGAACTTATGACCCATTTACCATAATAGACGAAGACAATGAATGTCTGAAAAATGATTATAAATATCTACTCTAATAAATAAAGTTGAAGTATCTGTTTCAAATTAACAGATTTCACTAAATAAGATTCAGAATTCACGTCAAAAATTAATCTACAACATTTTATTATTTCTGTCTGTTTGTTCTTGGTAATCTCAGAAACGGCTACACTGATTTTGACTGGACTTTCACTCGCAGATAGCTAAATTAATATACTTTTCAGCTTACAGACGTGGCTACTAGCTACTAAGTAATTATATATGAATAAGTATGTTTTTTCTTCAGGGAAGGTAGACTGCTGATCATCCACGGCCTGGCTGACGAAAACGTCCACTTCTGTCACACGGCGGCGCTTCTCTCAGAGTTGGTGAGGCTTGGGAAGCCACACAGAGTTCAGGTAAATGTTCAATTCAGCATAGCATACTGGTCAGAGACATGCCTATGTGTTATTCTGATATATATACTATATTATTATAAAGTTTCATAAATATACAGTAGTTTTTGCGTGAAAGAGTAACAAACATCCAACCATCCATAGTTACAAACTTCCGCGCTTATTAATATTGATAATATTATAAATGCGAAAGTAACTCTGTCGTCTCGCTTTCACGCCAAAACTACTGAACCGATTTAAATGACATTTAGTACACATATAGTCTGACCCTTAGGGACATAAGATATCTTTTAAAGCGAAAAAACGGTAAGGTAATGACTACATTACAACGCTTTTTATTTTAACTCATTAGTTTTAAAGGAAAATATGTGTGTATGGAAGTATAATTATTTTTAAAGCTATAAACTTGAAACTTATATTTTAGGTTGTTACTAACACGCGGACGAAGTTGCCAGCACAGTTATATATATATATATATATATATGGATTTATTATTTTATTTAATACCGCTACCATTTGTGTGAGATCATTAATATTCAATAGAGAGATTGGTGAACAGATACAATTTCCATCATGTTTGACATATGTAAGATACGTCAATTGTATTATAATAAAATAACAACTATATAATGTCTCGTTTCCTGTTTTTAGTGGCATAATAGGCAACACTAGCCTCTTGCCAAAGAAGAGAAAAAAAAACAACTATATAGCATTAATTTAACTATAGCTCTAACACAATTCACTTTAACATTTAAAATACAACCAGCACATCCTGTGCTCAAAGACCGAATGCCGCGGCCTACAAAAACCCTCCCTTTTATACAGAGAAGATATGAGTGAGATTATACGCAACTAGTTTAACGATACCGAGTAATGATGAAACTACCTTCTGTTAATATTTTTCGACAATATCGATATAAACCCTAACACATGCAAGTTATAAAAAATGTATATTCCCCAGGTATACCCCGGCGAGCGGCATTCACTGCGGGCGATGCACGCCGCGAAACACTACGAAGCGACTTTGCTACATTTTCTACATGAAAACCTGTAAATTTTGTATTATTAGACACCTAGTTTGTATGTAATCATATAAAATTATATTAATGCAAATAAATCACTGTTGTATTGTATACATGTAATGGATTTTTTGTTTTATAGCCTACCCTTACGCTTCCCACATTCCACCAACTTTTGTTCAAACTAACATTTTACAAACGGTTTGTAGCATTCGGACCTAACCAAGCTAAAATATTGAACTAAATTTTCTATTACATAATAATAATCCCATCAGTGCCATCTTGTGCTTTTTTTTTACGTGGGGAAAATCCCTCATGGAGACCCGGCTGTCTCAGGGGATCGACGGACGGGTACTGTGAGACTCCTAGTCACCAAAAACCTCAAGATATTCTTCCTCGCCGCCATAGTGCCAGGTTCGCGGGATCGAGCTGGCAATTAACCGCGACCCCAACGGCGGTTACCCGCAAGCGGGCCCTACTCAACGCGTGGGGGGAACTCTTCCCAGTTCCCCCGCCTACGCCCACCGTGGGGAAGACGCACCGGAATACGGGATGCGCCTCCCCCCCATCTCGGCTCCTGTAGTGTGGATGGTAGACTTGAACCCCTGAGACTGCCGCCCACACAGCCGCGCCCGCTCCGCACGTGTCTCTACAAGAGTAGAGTCATAGCAGGAGCGGGCCACCAACGCGACGCTTAACGGCCGGCACGGGCCCCATCTGGGCCCATTGTCCCAGCCTCCGCCGCCCCCCTTCGTCGGACTATCGGCCGACCATCAGTACCATTTAGTCCTGTACTAAGCAAAGCTTGTGTTATGGATATGAGACAACTGATAGAAAGAGAAAAAAATAATTGTAAAGTTTGTGATAGCAGTTTAGTCAATTTTATATTAGGTATGTTGGCAACACAGGTTGTGGCCAATTCTTTTATATCAAGCGGCAACACCGTTGCGTAGTTACGACATACAAGAAAAATAACAGACTTGGACGAAATCATCTCGTAAATTTCTCATGTACATATATAAATATATATAACTCAAATGTGACTGACATAGTGATCTATCAACGCACAGCCCAAACCACTGGACGGATCGGGCCGAAATTTGGCATGCAGGTAGATGTTATGACGTAGGCATCCGCTAAGAAAGGATTTTGATTAATTCTACCCCCAAGGGGATAAAATAGGGGATGAAAGCTTATATGAAATTTTATCAATTTTAAACCGATCGGGCTGAGACTTTGCATGCATAAAGCTACTATGACGTAGGCATCTCCTAAGAAAGGATTTTGATAAATTCCATCCCTAAGGGGATAAAATAGGTGATGAAATTTTGAATGAAAGTACTGGTAAGCCGCATAAACTATTCCTAATAATAATACTTCTGCGAGCGAACCCGCAGGCAAAAGCTAGTCTATTATATTATTTAATACACATAACGTAAATTCTCAACCTGTATCATAACATCACTTTCCTCTTCCTGGTGCCGCTGATACAAGTGTAAAGGAACTTCTGAATAAATAAAGCGGCTAACCCAGCCGCCAATACGTTAGTGCGTGCGAAGCCGTAGGTAAAAGCTGTATATTTTACAGCAACCAACCAATAACGTTATTCATGTAGCTCCTGTAGTGTGGGTGGTTATCACCTCATCACTGTGTTATCGTTATATATGATATGATGTGCGACTTCACTCGTAGAATAGTCATCAAGTAAAGAAAAAATATTTACTCACTATGGGTAACTTTTTACAAACTTTGAATTTTATATTTATTTATATTTAATCTACAGCCTAAAAAATAACGACATACAAACTTTGATCCCCATTTTCAATCCTTTAGAACCCTTTTTTTAAAACAAGTATCCTAGCCTTCAAAATCGCGTAAGTTTATTTGAATAAATGATTTCTTTTCTTTTCTATTCTGTTCTATTACTATGTCCTTTGTCAGAGTCTAAACTATGTGTACTCTACATTTCATTTAAATTGGTTCAGTAGTTTTGTCGTGAAAGCGAGACAGACAGACAGATTTACTTTCTCATATATAATAGTAAAGATTTTAGTATGTAGGTAGTGCCAGGTGAAATAATTAGACTATTTATTGTACATTAGTAAGTTTATTTGGTAGTGTGCTCATGGCTTATTAGTAACGCGTACATTCGACGCGAAGTCGTACCGTGGCGTGACTACACTGAACTTAAATCTATGTTATCTGGAGAGGTACTAATGGAAGGGTCTCAAGTGTTGATAGAAATATTACAAGTGTTGGTACAGTCTGTTAAAAACCCTTATGATATGTTCTGCTACGTTTACATTCAGCTGCTTCCCCTGCTACTCGCGCTGCCGTAAATATTGCCGGTCGACAACTGAGCGAGAGGGCTGAATGTAAAAACACGCTGCCACTCGCGCTGCCAGTTCTTTGACTCGCGCACGAAAAACCGACAATCGAGGGAGCGCCGGGCAGCGCGAGTGGCAGCGACAATGGCAAGTATTTCCATTCGTGTTTAGACACTGCATAAACATTTATATCCGTCATTTTATATTTCTGCCTAAGAAGTTTCCTCGGTGGTCCAGTGGTTTAGTACACCGTCTTACTTCCGATGATCGCGGGTTTGATTCCTCGCACGGTATAAACATTTTATTCATGAGTATGATTGTTTATAACGGTCTGGATGTTTTCTTTGTAGGTATAATATGTATGTAGGTATTTATGAAAAATATATATATATTTGTAACAGTTATCTAGTACCCATAACACAAGCTTTAGCTAACATAATTTCCAGATTTCAGTCATACTGAAATCTGCATTAGCAGGGCATGATTGTGAACGTTTTTTTTTCGGACTACTCTAATGCTGTTGGCCGCAGCTGGCCTTTACAGCTTCACCAGACAGGGGGCGAGTGCAAATGGCACTCCAAACCCGCGGAAGCTTCTAAAGGCCAACTCCCGCCTGACGGATACAACTTTAGTCTGAGGGCACCGCTAGGGGTATGAACCTCGGCTCAGGTCATCGTAATTTCGATCCCCGTTTGAATTTGAATTTGGGGTGGATGTTGACGGTAACAATGCGAGCAACGCCGTGTTATGCAGTTAGTATAAAATAAATGCAGTTTCACAGGTCGGGCGAGAATACTCATTCCAAATGACATCACCCGACACCGAAAACCTTGTATTTAAATAATTATATAGGCATTGACCTTGTTTGATCGGCGTCTTTAGATACATAAGCACAGCGTCCCTCTCCGAGTTTATTTACTTATAACTAGCTGTACCCGCGATTACCTCCGCGTGGAATGTAACTTTATTTTTCTAAAATAAAAGTAGCCTAAGTTACTGCTCATTACATCAGCTACCTGGCAAAAAAAGTCCCGTCAAAATCGGTCCAGCCATTTCAGAGATTAGCGGGAACAAACAGAAAGATAGATAAAAAATGTTATTTTGGTGTATGTACCGTATTTATATTAATGTAGTAAAAAACTGTTAAAGTCATTATTACAAATAGACACTCCTATTTTATTTATATATATAGATAATTATTATTATTACGGGTTACGAACACTCATTAGACTATTTGCTTTTGCACTAGTATACGGTAGGTCACTTTATTCTCCTAAATTTGAATTTAAAAATGAATCTGTATTATTGTAAACATGTACAACATTTATTTGAAAAGAATACGAGCTGAGTTTCTTGTCAGTTCTTCTCGACTCGAAATCATTCCGAACTGACGATATATTTAACATATCATAAGAAGTTTATAATAGACAACACAGCGCCATCTAGTCTCAAGCTAAGCAGAGCTTATTTTATGGGTACTAGACAACTGATAACAGATGACCTGATCTCTGCTTCGATCGTTCGTGAAATGTAACATTGAGGGAAGGGACTTGGTACTGGACTAATAACCCCATTGCTAACAATGTACCATGCCAGGTTGAGTTCCACGCAGTTCCCCTGGAAACCATCGTGATATGAATTGTGAATTTACCACGATGGGTTAACTGACCTGACTGCTCATCTTATCATCCTCCACTGGTGCTCCGCCAGCGTTAACCGTTAGCACAGGTGGGTGCACCGTTCTATTATCATTTATAATAAAAAAAGTGTAACTTTTCCTGACATTTCCTAAATTCGTGTGGTTATTTACCACAGATAACATAATCTTTTACTAATCTGTCTGTTAGGCAAAATACGCTCTGCTACCAAAATGTTAGGGAAAGTACTATGTATATATATATAGGGAAAAAATATGTGGAAGCGTCTGTCTCGTACCTGTATGGTTCTGCGGATTTCTTGGGCTTCAGGGTCTCGAAGGTATCTTCGCTAGCTTTCCAGTTTCACAGTAGGTTTCACAGTAGGTTTAACACAGTTCTAATTTATTTTAATTCACAACACAATGCGCGCGCCCGTCTAGGACGCTGTACGGTCAGTTCAGTACTAGGTAAGGGAGGGGAACGAAAGGCGCGGGAACAGAAACTAACGGACTCCAATACAATAATCTGTGCTCGCGATGGTACAGGGTAGATTTTGAATACTGTCGATTAATAAAAGATACAGATTATTAAAATTAGATCTATTAAATAATGTTTCGACGAAAAATGATATTAATTAATTACATATATGACTAATGTACCTAGGTACATATATGATGATAATATAATAATGCACCTGCCTGCGCTAACGGTATACGCTGGCGGGGCACCAGTGGAGGATGATAAGATAAGTATAAGGTGAGGTCAGTTAGCACATCATAACAAATTCACCAGGAATCAGGATGGTATCCAGGGTGAATAGCATGGAGGTCAACCTGACATGGTATATTGTTAACTATAATAATAATTATACTCCTCAATAATGGGGGAAGGGGATTGTTAGTAATGTGGACTAATGATCCTATTACTAGCAATGTTCTGTGGTGTGTTAATAATGGTTCCCCCTGGAAACCATCGTGATACATTCCCGGTGAATTTGTCACGTAGGGCTAACTGATCTGACTTCATGTTCATATTATCATCCTCCACTGGTGCCCTGCCAGTGTAAACCGTTAGCGCAGGCAAGGGCACCATTCCATGATCATCCTATAAAAAAAAATCCTGGATAATTTAAATAACGTCATCTTATACTAACTTCATATTAATTAATAAATCTCAGGACAATTCACACAGCACCATCTAGACCCTAGGTAAGCTAGCTAAGGCTTGTGTTATGGGCATACGATACAAATACATAGCATTTTTTTTGTTACATACATAATATACATAGAAAACACCCAAACATACAAACAATCATACTCATGAATACAAAAGTTTGTACCGTACAGGAATCGAACCCGCGACCATCGGAAGTGAAACGGTGTGCTAAACAGCTAGACCATCGAAACCGTTAATGTTATTTGTTCACATTACTAATATGCCACTTGTGATTTCACTTTCAAATATTTCGCCACCGAGCAGAGAAGTGTTCCGTATGTACATCACCCTCTAACCTTGTGTTTCTCAACGTGGGGCCCACGCACCACAGGGGGCCCATTCGTTTGTTTAAGGGGGCAATTCGAAAATGGACTTACAAGAGTTCAACACTTTCCGTCCTGTTTAAGTAAAATTTTTACAAACTTTGAAAGTCATATTTATGTATATTTAAATCAACAGCCTAAGACAAAGTTTCAACCTTCTATCTTTAAAAATAACAAAATTTTGCTTGTTGAAAAATAACAAAATTGTTTGCATCGGCAAACCAACATCTTTCCTTTCAACCCCTTACAACCCTTTTTCGCATTAAGAAGTAGCTATTTCCTTTCTCAGGGTTCTAGAATATCTGTGTACCGTTTAATTTAAACCTGTTCAGTAGTTTTGACGTGAAAACGAAACAGAATTATTTTCGTATTTAAAATATTAGTAAGGAAATAATAATGTTATTACAATCCTTACTTCCTTATTTTCTTCCGTAAATTAATTAAAAAATATAATAGTAATAATAATAATCATTTATTCAGCAAAGTAAAAATATGAAATACTTAAAAAAAATATATTTCACTATGAGCTGAAAGGACCTCCACTCATCTGGTGCCGCAGTGTCACTGCAGCGCTGATTTTCAGTGGAGCCACTCGAAAAAACTATTTCTTTTTTCATGATTCTTGATGATAATATTATTGACTTTATTATTAAATATATAAAATGAAGAGTGTATATATAGTTGGAACTGCATTGTAATGAACCAGAGATAAGTTTAATATTTTTTTAGGACGCGCATTCATTAACATACTTATTGAGTGACGTTACCTATGCTTCCCAGCTAAAGACTCGGACAGAGGTTATCGAATCACAACTTTAATTTTATTACTTGACCCGACCAGTTACCATTGAAATGCGCGCTTGAATGCACGCGTCTGTACCACAGATTAAAAATATATATTTTTTTAATTGTATAATAAATTAAATAATAGATAATAACAAGTCAGTGATGTTTTACATATAATGCTATAAATATATAAGTTTTATAAATAGTGATTTAGTGACTATAAATTTTGTGATAATAATTTAGGTAAGCAATTATAATTATTGTTAATGACGTAGGTTCTTCTTTATATAGTATAAAACAAAACAAGCCACTGTTTATTAGCTTATATCTTTTAAATTACGCAACGGATTTTAATGCAGTTTTCAGCAATGGATAGAGTGATTCAAGAGGAAGGTTTATATGTATAATACATGCGAGTTATAGTATAGAACAAGACGAGAAATTCAAAGAATTGTAATGTATCGGAACCGGAACGCTGTGCGCTGGCTAGTATGTATATAAGTTACTGTTTTTATGACAAAAAATAGGTATCCATGTTTTTGTGCTTTGAAAATTTATAATACGTAACATAATAGATTAATTAAGATGGTAGATAAAATTCTGGTGTGTTCTTTTTTATTGTTTACTCTGTACCATAACTTCCTTCAAGTAATATAGTGGGATTGTTCATAAAATCCATACTAATCTTGGAAATTATTATGTCTGTCCGCCTGTCTGTCTTGTTGTTTATTATCTCTATAAAGACTAAACAGTTGAAAGTATATTAAATAAAAAATCTGAGATTTTACAAGAAAATATATGGTATGACACGGCCGTTTTTATACCTAAAAAATCACACGAAGCCGCGAGTAAATGCTAGTCCTGATTAAATTTTACATTTTTTTTATAGTGTTTGCCATATACATTAAAATGGCTATTAAAAATAAGGGTTGGTGATAGAAGGGTGAAAATGTAAGGTTGTAGGTATGTATTTTTTTTAATGCCAGATAAAACAATTGTCCAAAAAGTAAAAAAAATGTTAGGGGTGGACAACCTTGTCACTTAGGCGTATGAAAGGTAGACAGTAGCCGATTCCCAGACCTACTGAATATATCTAAAATTTCATAAAAATCGGTCAAGCCGTTTCTTCAGCTAACATTGTGACACGAAAATTTTATATATTAGATAATAAACTTAGACAATCCACACAGGGTGTAGAGTCTCTATATCTGTATTGATTTAAATGATATTTGGCACAGAGTAGGGGTGTTATATTATATATGAAATTTCAGATACGGATAGGTTTCGGATATAGGAATACGGATACGGATATGAAATTATTTCGGATTCGTTAGTTTCAGCTAATTTCGGTTATGGACATTATTTTTTTATGGAATTTCAAAAGTAAAATACAAATAGCTAATAAAATTGGGCATTGGGCTCCCTAAAATATGGTCGAGCGAAGTGATGGCTGGCTCAATCGTCATACTCGTGAACGAGTGCTGCTTGTAGGGACTGGTCTGCTCTTATCACTACGACTGATTTAATCTTATAGCATATTTATATTTGACCCAAAAAATTTGTGCTTGTTGGTAGGTTTGTATTCACACGTTTCGACTTGTAAATGTAAACTTACAAGGATTATTGAAAAGAGCAACACACAAATTTCTTGCTCGTTCTTCTTGTGATGAGACAGCTTTCCAAACGAGTGGTAGATAAAAAACAAATTGTTATGACTATTCAAAAGTGCTTAAATTAAGTTTATTTGAATAAATGATTTTCTATTCTAAAATGGTTACATAACGTGTCACAATTAGGCTCCGCCCCTATCCGATATTATCCATAACTTTTATTTCGGATTCGGATACGGTTATTAATATTCTTTTATGTCGGATGTAGTTTCGGTTACGGTTACGGAATTCCCTAACATCCCTAGTATATACGTATAATTAGTAAAAATCACGGGATCTTACCACGTTTTATATTTATTTGCTGAGTTCCCGATATTTCGGTAGTGTTTCAACCACCATGATCACGGGTAAACTGATTTTTACTAATTATACGTATAAATAATGACCGCGTCAAGTTTAAAACAGTATATATCCCTAGTATAGTCTAGACTAGAGGTTCCCAAATTGGTTTGTATCGTAGACCCCTTGCCATATTTTTCGGTTTTGGGTAGACCCCCATTCTTACCTGGTAGTGATTTTTGTAAATTTCTAACTGTAGTAAAGTTTAGTTTTAAAAACATAAAGTAAAAACAAGATGACCGCTGTCCCCTGGAGGTCGATATAGACCCTGAGAAAGGACATAGGTTACATTTTAATGCAAAAAAAGGGTTGGTTGTTGGGGAGAAAGGAAGGTTGTATAGAGGTATCTTCATTTTTAAAACTTGAAGCTTTATCAATAAATATGACATTCAAAGTTTGTAAAAATGTTAGTTTTGAGGGGATAATATAAAGTAGGGATAACATCTTAAACTTAATCCTTACTTAATATTATAAATGCGAAAGTAACTCTGTCTGTCTCGCTTTCACGCCTAAACCACTGAATCGATTTAAATGAAATTTAGTACACAGATAGTCCAGACCCTGACAAAGGACATAGGCTAATTTTTAATGTGATAAAAGGGTTGCAAGGGAATATGAAAGGTTCTATGGAAGTATCGTCATATTACGCGGACGAAGTCGTGGGCGCAGCTAGTCCTATATAAACACGAATGTTTGTAAGTATGGAATGTTTGATACTCTTTCACGCAAAAACTACTGGACGGATTTTGATGAAACTTTACAGTAATATAGATTATGTATCAGAATAATATATAGGCTACATGTTTTATTGAAATTTATATACTGAAATTTAACACGGGCACGGATAGTTATAAATCAGACGCACGGACAGACGGACCTCTGTTCGTTGATCTGGAAATCTATACATATATTTAAAATTGGAGTGTCTGTAATATTGAAATAACAGTTTTTTACTACATGAATATGAATATAAATACGTTACATACACCAAAATAACATTTTTTACAATTTTTGTGTCTGTTTGTACCGGCTAATCACTGAAATGGCTGGACCGATTTTGACGTGATTTTTTTTGGCAGGTAGCTGATGTAATAAGGTCTACTTTTGTTTTAGAATAATAAAGTTAAATTCCACGCGGACGAAGTCGTGTGTACAGCTAGTGATGTAAGGAAATCATAAGGAGCGGTTAATACCCCTTTCAAAATAAACTGCATGTTTATTTCTGTATAAGTAATCATCTCATAAGAATTCCATGAAATTCATTATTTCCTTAGATATAAGATGACCTAGTAATAGCATCGTCTGATAATAAAAATTCCCGTAGACAATTCTGTTTCTTTTTTTATAGAGTTACTAGCTATGCCCGCGACTTCGTCCGCGGTACAGTGATCTGGGATAGCATTTCTGACAATAATCTACTTTTGAATAATGAATTAAAACAGTGACACAAATAAAGAAAAAAATAATTAATAATATAATCTAACCCAAAAAAACCTAAGAAAAAAGTATCACCAAATTCATATTCAAAAATCATTTATTCATGTAGGACATTTTAGCCGCTTATGAACGTCAAGTTAAAACTTGCAACCCCCTAAAGGGGGGAAGGGGATTGTTAGTAATGTGGACTAATGACCCCATCACTAGCAATGCACCATGTCAGGTTGACCTCCACGCGGTTCCTCCTGGAAACCATCGTGATAAATTCCTAGTGGATTTGTCACGATGGGCTAACTGACCTGACCTCATACTCATCTTATCCCCACTGGTGCCCCGCCAGCGTAAACCGATAGCACAGGCGAGTGCACCATTCCATTATCATCCATTAAATAAAAAAAACGTCAAGTTTTACATTATAATTTTTTTCCCTAACGTCCAGTTCGGTATATAGATCCAATTGAGAAGAACTGGCAAAAAATTGAATTACTTTTTTTTTAAAAGCCAGTTTATTTACAATGTATAGGTATTTATATAGGTGTCTATGTCTAACATTAAATAATCGTTATAACTTCAAAATTTGTAGTGCGATTTTAATACAAACTTTTATCCTCTATTTTATTTTATTTATTTATTTAACTTTATGTGTGCATTAAAGTTAAATAAATAAAATAAAATAGGGGATAAAATAATATACTTACAATATATATAGTACAGTACATTTGGCGAACTTCAAACCATACGGCATTTTCTACCAGTCAACCATAGTTTTTTTTTTCGGACTACTCTAATGCTGTTGGCCGTAGCTGGCCTTTACAGCTTCACCGGACGTTAGGGGCGAGTGCAGATGGCACTCCAAACCCGCGGAAGGACTTATAGAGCGGCTGAAGGCCAACTCCTGCCTGACGGATGCGACTTTAGTCTGAGGGCACCACTAGAGGTTCGAACCTCGGCTCAGGCCGTCGTAATTTCGATCCCCGTTTGAATTGGACGGGGGATCGATCGGAGGGGGTTAATTGTACCCACTTAAGTACCCTTAAATGTTTACAAACTTCGAATGTCATTTATTTATTTATTAAGCTTCTTATTTCCCTTTTCAACAATGAACCCTTTTTTTGTATTAAAAAGTAGCCTATGTCTTTTCTCAGGGTTTTGAATATCTGCGTATCAAATTTCAAGTAAATCGCTTCAGTAGTTTTGGGGTGAAAGCCAGACAGAGTGCGAAAGTAATTGGCATTTATAATACCAAGAATAAAGAATAGTTATAGAGTATATGTAATAGCTTTCTGCTAATACAACACTAATTTCTATATAGCAACAATGATGGCAAACAAGCATACGGCCCATCTAATGGTAAATGATTTTTTTTTTAAAGGATGATAATAATAATAATAATAATCTCAGAACAATTCACACAGCGCCATCTAGACCCAAGTTAAGCTAGCTAAAGCTTGTGTTATGGGTTTAAGACAACTGATACAAATACATAGATATATTTTTTTTTCGTAAATACATACATATTATACATAGAAAATACTCAGACCGATACAAACAATCATACTCATGAATACAAATGTTTGTGCCGTGCGAGGAATCGAACCCGCGACCATCGGTCGTAAAGCGGATAATGGAATGGTGCACCCGCCTGCGCTATCGGTTTACGCTGGCGGGGCACCAGTGGAGCATGATAGGATGAGCATGAAGTCAGATCAGTTAGCCCAACGTGACAAATTCACCGGGAATGTATCACGATGGTTTCCAGGGGGAACCGCGTGGAGGTCGATCTGACATCTCCCCGATGGTAAATGATTACCGTAGCCTATTGACGCCTGAGACAGCAGGGGTGTTAGGTGCGCGTACGTTGTCGACGTTTAAGAAACCTTAATATAGAGGAAAGAGGAATTGTTAGTAATGTGGACTGCTGATCTTATTGCTAGCAATGTACCATGTCGGGTAACAAACAAACAAAACAGACACTCCAATTTTATTTATATGTATAGATATATTATATTTACTAGCTGTCCCGGCAAACGTTGTTTTGCCATATAAATTAATAACGCTATAAAAAATAGGGGTTGATGATAGAAGGGTGAAAATTTAGGATTGTATGTATTTTTGTATGTTGTATCATAAAAAAATAGAAACTAAAAATTTTGTCTAAAAAATTTAGGGATGGACTACCCCTAACATTTAGGGGGATGAAAAATAGATATTGGCCGATTCTCAGACCTACTCAATACGCTCACAAAATTTCATGAGAATCGGTCAAGCCGTTTCGGAGGAGTATGGGAACGAAAACTGTGACACGAGAATTTTATATATAAGATATGTATAGATATATTATATAGGTATAGATTATCCACCACAAAAACCAGAGTTATCAATGAACACATGTGGAAGCGAGCGTTAATTTGAAATTAATAAAACTCCATTCTGGGAAATACATTTGAGTATCAATTATAATACTATTAGATTGATGATTAACCGAGTACGTGGCGTGGCACCAGTGGAGGATGATAAGATGAGCCTGAGGTCAGGTCAGTGGTAAAATCACCACGAATTTATAATGCACGTGGAGGTTTACCTGATATGGTATATTGCTAGCAATGAGGTTATATAATAAGATGAGCATGAGGTCAGGTCAGTGGTAAAATCACCACGAATTTATAATGCACGTGGAGGTTTACCTGATATGGTATATTGCTAGCAATGAGGTTATATAATAAGATGAGCATGAGGTCAGGTCAGTGGTAAAATCACCACGAATTTATAATGCACGTGGAGGTTTACCTGATATGGTATAATGCTAGCAATGAGGTTATATAATAAGATGAGCATGAGGTCAGGTCAGTGGTAAAATCACCACGAATTTATAATGCACGTGGAGGTTTACCTGATATGGTATATTGCTAGCAATGAGGTTATATAATAAGATGAGCATGAGGTCAGGTCAGTGGTAAAATCACCACGAATTTATAATGCACGTGGAGGTTTACCTGATATGGTATATTGCTAGCAATGAGGTTATATGATAAGATGAGCATGAGGTCAGGTCAGTGGTAAAATCACCACGAATTTATAACGCTGGTTTTCAGGGAAACCACGTCGAGGTTTACCTGATATATTGCTAGCGGTATATTGCTAGCAAATGGGGTTATATGTATATTTATTAGTAATTAAAATATTATAGGATTTATTAGCAACTAGCTGTATTTACGACTTCGTACGTGTGGAATTTAACTTTATTTTACTAAAATAAAAGTAGCCTAAGTTACTTCTCATTACATTAACTATCTACCAAAAAAAGTCCCGTCAAAATCAGTCCAGCAATTTCAGAGATTATCCGGAACAAACAGACCGACAGACGACAGACAAAAATTGTAAAAAGTGTTATTTTGGTGTCTGTACCATATTTAAATTCATATGCATGTAGTAAAAAAACTGTTATTACGATATTACAAACAGACACTCCAATTTTATTTATATGTATAGATGTATAATTAGTTATTCCTCGCGAAACGGCTTGACTTGAAATTTTTTATGTATATTCAGTAGGTCTGAGAATGGGTTTATAACTAATTTTTATACCCTTAGGGGTATAAAAATTAGCCATAAGTGAGCCACCCTTAACACTTAGGTGTTAAGGGTGGCTCACCCAAATAAAAATTTTTCAAAGTTTCGACAATTATTTTTAATTTTACATTTTTATAATCTGCTATTAAAAATAGTATGTATTTTTAATGGCAGATTTAACAGAACCCTAAATTTTCACCCTTCTATCATGAACCCCTATGTTTTTAATAGCGATTTTATTTTATATTGCAAAACAACGTTTGCCGGGACACCTAGTAAACTACAATAATATTCATTTAAAATAACATTCGTATCATTTTCCTGTTTTTATAATATTATTTTGTTAATTAATGCCCTTGAAGATAATTACTATTGTTTTAAAACGAGTTTGTGTTTTTAATTGTTGCATGTGTCACAGGACAAAGGACAATCGATCTATACAGCTAATTCAAAATTAAAATATATTTATTCACGTAGGTCTATTACAGACTCGTATGATATGTCAAATGTACCGTCAGTTCGGAATGATTTCGAGATGAGAAGAACTGACAAGAAACTCAGCTCGTATTCTTTTCAAATAAATATTGTACATGTTTACAATAATACAGATTCATTTAAATTCAAATTCGGGAGAATAGAGTGACTATGCTATTGCAAAAGCATCAAATCAGTGTTTGTCACCCGAACAGACCAGTCCCCACAAGTATCCGTCATACTCGTGAACGGGTTTTGACGAGTATGACAGATGAGCCAGCCATCATTGCACTAAACCATTTTTAAAAAGAGAGATTCATTTTTAAATTTAAATTTGGGAGAATAGAGTGACCACCAGCATATGCTATTACAAAAGCAAAAGTCTAATCAGTGTTCGTAACCCATACGTTGAGATGAACAACATGTCTGGATAAAACCGTAGAAAAACTGTAGTTAACCAGATTACCTTGCAATATGTTTGCAATGGATGACGTAACTGTGGTCCGCTCGGCTCGGATTTTCCTGTTAGATCGCTCAAATGACTATAATTACATCTTCCAGTTAAATTAACTTATTTACTACAATCACGTTAATTTGATATTATTATTATCTACATATAATAAAATTGGAGGGTCTGTTTGTAATATGGAAATATTCGTTTTTACTACATGCATATTAATATAAATACGGTACATACACCAAAATAACATTTTTTACAATTTTTGTCTGTCTGTCTGTTTGTTCCGGCTAATCTCTGAAATGGCCTGACCGATTTTGACGGGACTTTTTTTGGCAGGCAACTGATGTAATAAAGAGTAACTTAGGCTACTTTTACTTTAGAAAAATAAAGTTAAATTCCACGCGGACGAAGTTGCAGGAACAGCTTGTTAGAAATAAATTAGAAATTGGCACGCCTGAGGTAATCATTCGGTACTAGCGAAAGGGAGTGTTCTTCGACCGCATTAGCTGAAATACCGCGGCAGGCCGAAAAAAATGTATTTCATTCATGCCTCAAAACCAGCCGTGGTCATACAGCGTGCTTTACCACCTATAGTCTGTTTTTTAATCCCGGAGACAAATTTGACATTTCCGATGTTGCCAGGTTTTAAATAGGGATATGGCACTATCGGATATTAACATTATTTATAAATTTTTATAGGTTATTCAGAAATAATGTATGGGTGTTTATTTAAAATGCATTAACACAAAATTAATAAAGTATAGGTATTAATTTTGTATCAAAATAGATTTTTTTATTTTTTACTAAGATACAGACTAATTGCCTTTTATTTAAAACAAATTACATTTTTATGTGTTTAGTGTCATATGTCATAAAACAAACACGTATTTAAAAGATTATGCTGTTTGAAAAAAAAATGTTGATTTGTAGCTTAATGCTGTAAAAAATACTATTTGTACGCCAACAACAAAAATGTATTTTTATGCTGTATAATACGACGGTAGTAAAGGAAACACTAGTATATATACTTAATATAAAAATTCTATTATGGAATCGTCATTTAAAACTAAGTTTCCGATTAAACTAATCGGTATCGCAGGTACAGCACTACTCGCTAGAGCTGGTAACATTATTTGAAAATTTGACATTTACATCTGTCAATTTAGTCCCCGGGATTAAAAAACAGACTATAATTTTGTCAACGTTAATTTTACAGTAGAATGTTTCTCATCATCACACTGGTAATCACGGCGGTGATGGCGCAGGAGTCGACAATAGACCCGGCGCTGCTTCTCAATGTATTTGGAACACCGCCCACCCCCAGCAAATCTGGCAACACGTCGCCCAAACTTGAAGAGGTAAGATACCTTCAATTTGACAGCCTCTACTGGTCTAGCCTTTTTTTTTTCTTGGAGAAACTCCTTCATGGAGACCCGCCCACCCCAGAGGAGGCAAGCGGGTACTATGTGACTCCTATTAGTTCACCTCCTAAAAGGGTACTATGTGACTCCTATTAGTTCACCTCCTAAAAGGGTACTATGTGACTCCTATTAGTTCACCTCCTAAAAGGGTACTATGTGACTCCTATTAGTTCACCTCCTAAAAGGGTACTATGTGACTCCTATTAGTTCACCTCCTAAAAGGGTACTATGTGACTCCTATTAGTTCACCTCCTAAAAGGGTACTATGTGACTCCTATTAGTTCACCTCCTAAAAGGGTACTATGGGACTCCTATTAGTTCACCTCCTAAAAGGGTACTATGTGACTCCTATTAGTTCACCTCCTAAAAGTTTCAAGATCCCCACGAAGCGTCTGTTATCGGAGTATCAGGATCGAGTGTCAGGTCACCGCGACTCTGGCGGCATGGGCTCGCTTTAGTAGGCCCCTACGATTTTTGTTTTGGGGGGTCAACCCTCCTCTCTCTTGTGAAGGCCACACCTCAGGCCCTTGCGGCGGCGATAGTCCAGCCTAGTTTAATCTTGTGTCTATAATATTTGACCCTAATAAATTAGTACTAGTTGGTCGTTTGTATTCACACGTTTCAACTTAAAAATGTAAAGTTACAACGATTATTAAAAAGACAACACGCAAGTTTCTTGCTCATTCTTCTTGTGATGAGACAGCTTTCCGAATGAGCGGTGGATTAAAGATATTGTTATGATTATTCTAAAAAAGGATTTTCTATTCTATTCTATTCTAGCAGTTTAGCACACTGCTTTACTTCCAATGGTCGCGGGTTTGATCCTCGTAAAACACTCGAGTATGATTGTTTGTAGCGGTCTGGGTGTTTTCTATGTATATTATGTATGTATTTACAAAAAAAAATCTAAGTATTTATATCAGTTATATACCCATAAATAAAGCTCTGCTTACCTTGGGACTAGATGGCGTTTTGATCAGGGAAATACACTTACTTATATACAAGTACTTTTGAATAGTTTTTTTATTCTACCACTCATTCGGAACGCGGACTCATCACGAGAAGAATGAACAAGAAACTTGTGTTACTCGTTTGATTAAATGTTATTTTAAATAAATAAATACACAATAACAAGTAAGAGGCATCCGATAATCAACATAGAAACTGCTACGTACTCATTCTTAGTGCAATCAGATATTGTTAGTGCTATGAATTTTAGGTTCATAAGTTGCAAATACGTAAGAGTTTTAAGTTTTAAGATAAAACCGACTTTAATACTAAAGCATTATGGTCAATTTTTATATTATAATTATGTAGCTGCGAATCTACTATTCCACTACATTTATTTTTATATATAGAGTGTCGATTGTTAGAAACTGGCAACATAAATCGCCGGAGTTGAGAAAAAAAAAATCCCGCCAAAATTTTTACTACATTTTTTTTTCAGATTACGATACGGCCCACAGACAAAAACGAGTTTGTAGACAAAAACGGCGAGTCGTGCAAATGTGTGCCTTATTACTTATGTGATAGTAATCTGGTTGGCGTGGACGTTAATAACGTTTCGGCTACTGGCTGGGGGACCTTAGATATTAGGTAAGGTTATTTTTAATTTCAATTTCACCATTTACCATCAGATGGGCTGTATGCTTGATGGCCACCATCATAGTATAGTATAAAAAAAAATCAAAACGGCCTTGCCTTGGCCTTTTTTAACGTGGGGTGAAGCCCTCGTTTATTCGCCGTGATATCTTATTATTTTTCCTATTTATTTTTTTTCGGACTACTCTAATGCTGTTGGCCGCAGCTGGCCTTTACAGCTTCACCGGACGTTAGGGGGCGAGTGCAGATGGCACTCCAAACCCGCGGAAGGACATATGTGGCGGTTGAAGGCCAACTCCTGCCTGACGGATACGACTTTAGTCTGAGAGCACCGCTAGGGGTTCGAACCTCGGCTCAGACCGTCGTAATTCCGATTTTCGTTTTAATTGGACGGGGGATCGATCGGGAGATATTATTTTATCTGTGGCAGTGCAGGGGGAAGGAGATTGTCAGTAATGTAGATTGATAACCCCATTGCTAGCAATGTACCATGTCAGGTCGACCTCCACGTGGTCCCCCCTGGAATAGTGATAAATAACTGGTGAAATTGTCACAATGTGTTAATTGACTTGACATCATGCTCATCCTCCACTGGTGCCCACCCTAGCGTATACCATTAGCGCAGGCGGGTGCACCATTCCATTATCAACCCTAAAAAAAAACTGGTAGGGCGTATATACATATACGCGAATACTCAACGCGGAGGTTGCCTGTTCAAATCTCGCCGGTTACCAATTGTAATGATCACCCATCCAAGGCGTGACCGCAAAGAATATTAATTAACTTTATTGATCTCTACACCAATTTGAAAATATAATACAATACAAATACAATAGACAGACATACTTTACAGCAAGTTTTACGAATGACCATATAAAAGTAATGTTGCCATTGTATATTTATATAGTCTGGCGTTACTCATCAAACTTGTTTTAATTTATTGATTCAAAATATTATTATAACCGTAACACAAAATGAAATAAACATATTCTGCCCAACATTATTACCATGCCCATATACGGTCACCCATCCAACGCCTGACCGTCACGAAAGTTGCTTAACTTCATTGACCTATATTACAATTTTATTTAAAACCTTCATGTCCATACATGGTCACCCATCCAACGAGTTACCGCTATCACAGTTGCTTTACCTTACTGATCCAGATTTGGCGAGGACGAGTGCCAGGAGAGCGTCGAGCGATGCTGCACCAGCCCTAAGGATGAGAAGGATGTAGTGGTACCGACTCCAAGGCCGCTGAGGGGTTGTGGTTATAGAAACCCTAAAGGGGTTGATTTTACCATCGCTGGAGGAAGTGTGAGTAAATATTGAATAAGCCTTGCTAGTCTATCATATAACGTTACTTCGATGGTCGCAGGTTCGATTCCTCGCACAATGCAAATTTTGTTTTCATGAGTAGTATTTTCTATGTACATACATAATGTATTAATAAAAAAAATTATGTACGTAAATTCTAGTACCCATAACATAAGCACTGCTTATCTTGGAACTAGATGGCGCTGAGTAAGTAAATACTAGAGAGATCTAGAAATCTCTATTAAACAGTAGGATTTGATGGTACTAGTAAAGGTAGAATATAGGGTTGTATATATTTTTAAATGGCGAATTTAAAAAATATTTAAAAAAAATGTCCAAACAATAAAAAAGATATTGGGGTGGACCACCCTCTTCATTTCAGGATGAGTAAATAGATTACGTCTTACGACTTTAGCGCCTCTTTGTAATAATTAATTATCATTTCAAAATGGCGAAAATTTGACAATTATAGAGTTATTGATTATTTATAAATCTTAACCGTGTCTTTCCCAAACCGCCGGAGCCAAAAGAAGATAAAAAAACCGTGTCTTTGAAAAAAAACTGTTGAATAATAAAAATTTTAGCCGTTTTGTAATAATTATTATAAATAGAAAATGGCGGACTTCTCACTATCGAGCAAAGATTTATTGATAATTTATAAATATATAAATAAAGATTTATAGATAAAGGCAAATTTAAAGAGTTACTGAAAATTTATAAATCTTAAATCAATTGATATACAAAATTAAAAGAAAAGTGAAATTATATGAAACACACGCTATTACGCGCGAAAGAATAAACACATAAAATAGTAAAATGGATTGGGTTTCCCGCGCTAAAACACGAGCGATGTCAGAATGATGAATCCCTTCACGTAGGCCTATTACAGACTCGTATGATATGTCAAATCTACTGTCAGTTCGGAATGATTTCGAGATGAGAAGAACTAACAAGAAACTCAGCTCGTATTCCTTTCAAATAAATGTTGTACAAGTTTACAATAATACAGATTTATTTTTTAATTCAAATTTGCGAGAATAGAGTGACCACCAGCATATGCTATTGCAAAAGCATCAAATCAGTGTTTGTCACCCGAACAGACCAGTCCCCACAAGTATCCGTCATACTCGTGAATGGGTTTTGACGAGTATGACGGATGAGCCAGCCATCATTGCACTAAACCATATTAGAGCACATTGACCCTACCCACCACGCCACCACAAGTTTGAACTTACAACGAGCATGACTGTTTCAAGTTACTCCACTACGTCATTATATTATTTACAGCATAGAATGTCTCGTGTAAAGATTAGAAAGGTCTCGTGTTAGAAAGGTCTTTCTCTTAGATCTTTTCATTTTTGTCCATAAAATCCTTGTTTCTTTATAATCAGGGTGCAGAAGCAGAGTTTGGCGAGTTTCCATGGGTGGTAGCTCTTATAAACTCCAAGAATGATTCCTACATCGGTGTGGGAGTGCTGATCCATCCGCAGGTTGTGATGACGGGCGCTCATGTTGTTCACGAGTAAGTATGGACATTTATTTATTTATTAAAACTTCAATGTACAGGAAATACACAGATAAAGATGTATGTCTATGTCTTAATGCCTATAGGGATTATCTCCCTCTATTTTCAACCATAGAGCAAATAGAGAATCATGATTTATAGATATATAAACAGAGTAGCTGTAGTCGCGACTTGGTCCGCGTGCAATAGTGTATAATACTAAAACCTATTTCTGCGTTTTGTACTACTTTTTACGTACCTCGTTCACTATACCAAAATAATTTTAGTGTGTAAAAGTGATTTTGATGAAATTGAACCGTGCGAGAAATCGAACCCGCGACAGAAACCTGTGTGCTGTACCCCTAGACCACCAAGGCAGTTCTGCAAGGAATTGAACTCGCGGGGGTTTGGGTTCAAACTAGCAATTTAGCAGTCGCTAGACCATCAGGCAGTCATTTACTTAGACAGTTTACTTTACAGTTACGCGACTGGATCTGTGAAGATTCGAGCTGGTGAATGGGACACGCAGACCACTCGGGAACGACTGAAGTCTGTTGAGAAGCTGGTGGTGGACAAAAGCTCACATCCTGGTAATGTTAAACTCATGCTGGACTAGCCTAGTATTTAGAATAATTATAAAATCATAATGGGACCTGTAGGCCCCGCGTACTGCTTTTTTTTGTTTTCGGACTACTCTAATGCTGTTGACCGCAGCTGGCCTTTACAGCTTCACCGGGCGTTAGGGGTCGAGTGCAGATGGCACTCCAAACCCGCGGAAGGTCTTATGGAGCGGCGGGAGGCCAACTCCTGCCTGACGGATACGACTTTAGTATATCCCGTCTTCGTTCGCGTGGAATAGTGTCCTTGACCAAATAAAGGAAAATATTTAATAATATACATATGTATATATCTATAACCAAAAATCCAAAGAAAAAAAGTTTCATCGTTCTAGCTTCAAATATGAACTTCCATATAAACTGGTCATCCCCTATTTTATTTTAGCGTCCAATCTTTGAATGTCATATTTATTTATATTTAATCAACTGTCTAAGAAATAAGTTTCAACCTTCTAGCTTTAAAAATGACGACACTCTTCCATACAAACTTTCATTTAATGTTAGACTTAGACACCTATATAAAAATACATTGTAAATAAAATGGCTTAAAAAAAAAAAGTAATTCAATTGAGTTTCTTCCCAATTCTTCTCAATTGGATCTATATACCGAACTGGACGGTAGGGAAAAAATAAAATTATAATGTAAAAATTTTGACGTTCATAAGCGGCTAAAATGTCCTACATGAATAAATGATTTTTGAATTTGTATTTCCCCTTTGAAATATGAAAGTTATAAAATAACTTTTTATTCTGTATGTTTAGCTGAAAGAAAAGCCCTTTTGCCGCGTTCTAATTATGAATATTTCAAACCATAGACTTCCTGAGGAAGAGCGTGAAGAACGATGTGGTGCTTCTCAAGTTGGAGACGCCTCTGGAGCTGGCCGAGCATATCAACGTGATCTGCCTACCGTCTCAGGATGAGGATTTCGACCGGTACAGGGGCTGTGTGGCCAACGGATGGGGCAAGGACGTCTTCGGTGAGTGGTGGTTGTCTCCTCTATTCTCCCAAATATGAATTGCTAGCTTATCTAGCCAACATCTAAGGAAAATAAATGAGGTAGCACCTCACTGGATGTGACTTATCTCTTAATGCCCATTCTGGCCGTCTTTCACCTATTTGAGGCCCTGTGCACATTAGGATAAAGGGGCCTATAACCGTAGTAATAAAACACTATTTTGATTGAACATGACTCTGTGGTTATGGTTGGCGTGTTGATATACAGAAGGAGTGATATTAATAAAAGATTGAATATATGACGGTGTATATAATATCAGAATTAAAAATAACAAATAATAATTAATTTAACAACTCATTTAGATCAGTCATTTGCAAGCGAATCAATTTGACATTTCGACAATATACTTTTTATTAAATGTGTTTGTGTTATATGGCTAGTTTATGCAAGGAGGTTGGTAGCCTACATTACTCCCCCTTTGAGACCTGGCTAAGGGCGATAAAAGTCTGGAAAATGTACACGACGTCCAAAACGAGTAGTACGATTTGTGGTAATATTGTAATCCTGATTGGTAGACTCGTGTTGGTCACTGAGAATAAAAGCGGGTTTAAGCCTATCGATAGACACAGTGACTTCCTTACCCTTTACAAGCAATTTAAAAATTTTATCACCTCTATGTATTACAACATATGGACCTGATACAACATATGCTGGTTGAAGTGAACTACGCAAAGCATCTTCTCGGAGGAAAACGTGATTGGTAGTGGCTAAATCCTTGAAAATAAATATTTTGTCACTTCTGTGACGTGAAGCAGCAACAGGTTTAATTTTATCTGCAAATGTACGTAAACGTGCAAGAAAATCTGTTACATCGGTCGATCCTTCTGAAGAACGATCGAAAAATTCACCAGGCAGTCTGTTTGCGATCGCAAATAGCCCTTTACTTTATTTAAAAATAAAATTTCAAATTTCAAATTTCGAACGTCAGGCACAGAACATCGATGATATTTTATATACAATTTTGCACTCCTTCTCGAACATTCCGTGGCGTCACTATTAAAATCAACGTACAATACAATCTAAATATTCTTTTTATTTAAATTTAAAACATATCAACCACTGCAATATTCCTCCAGCAAACATTTTGGTCCCAACGAGTCGGATTAACTAGTGCATTCAGTGAAATACATATATATCTACAATAATTAATATTTATTCAATATATCTGCAATACGATCGTCATTACGTAATAAAATGGCGGAGGAATATTCTAGAACAAAAGCACAACGCAACGCAATAAAAGGACGAATAACTAGAATATATAATTTTGTACAACAACAAAAGGAAGGATTCGATATCAACGAATATATTACACGCAACGCGGAACTTGAGAAGTTAATGGAAAGGTATGATGAACTTCAGACATTAATTGAGATGAAGGACGATGGAAGCCAGGTTGGAGACCAGTCAGCTGCAAATGAAGAGGACCGGAGCGCGGTTGAGACTAGGTATTATACAACAAGAGCGGCACTACAAAAAGTTATTGATGCCCACCGACTGCCTACAAGCGGATCAAGCTTTTCAAGTGCCCCATCATACGACCGCCACATCAGTAATGACGTACTTCTTCCCAAGCTCTCCTTACCCACCTTCGAAAGCAAGATATCCGAGTGGCCGACCTTCAAGAACATCTTCATGACGACAATTGGTAACAGCAACATGTCACCCGCAAGGAAACTTCAATTCCTGAAAACGGCGCTTAAAGGAGAGGCAGCTGGTTTAGTAAGCGCATTGTTTATTTCTGACGACAATTTTCAAAAAGCTATGGACATATTGGTTACCAGGTATGAGAACAAAGTTATCGTAGTCAACACACATTTAAAATCATTTCTCAATCACATAACTATCACTCGAAATAATTTAAAAGAGTTCCTTAACATCTTACAACAAAGTCTAGATTCTCTAAATGCTCTGGATATTAACACGGATAGCTGGGATGTCCTGTTAGTCTTCTTAATTACTCAGAAGCTAGACAGTTCATTACGTACATCGTGGGAACTGAGCAGAAAGGATAACAATCTACCTACACTTAAGGAGCTGTTACAATTCTTGAATTTGCGAATGACGTCATATGATCTTATTAATGACAAAGGAAGTGATAGCAAGCCTCAAACTAGTTCAAAACCTAAGGTATCGTATAACGCATCTGTCATTACCTGCGATAGTGTGTGTGTTATGTGTAAAGGTGAACACTTTCTACATAAATGTCCACAGTTCATGCAATTGTCTCCGGTGCAACGTAACGAGTATGTTAAAACTAATACTCTTTGCTTCAATTGTTTAAAGCCTTATAAGTTTAATCATAGATGTTCAAAACATAAATGTCTTACGTGTCGTGGCCGACATCATACTATGTTGCATATGCAAAGTCGTCCGATATTAGTTAACTCATTAATTTCTCAATCTAATAATATTGAACAACCATCTACGCCTGCACCTGTAGCAATTTTACCGCCTGCACCTGCAGCACCCACTATGACAGCGCCCGCGGCCTCCGTGCCCACTGTGCCTGCCCTCAACTGTAACTTAACCCCTCAACTGACGCCGACATACAGTGACCACGTTGACAACAGACCTCCTGTTGTTCACACAACTCATACGAGTACTAACAGTAACATACATGTACTGTTATCTACAGCTATCATAAGGATTCAAGATGCGACTGGACAGTGGCACACTGCTCGAGCCCTCTTGGATTCCGGCAGCGAGGTAAACCTCATTACAAGCAGGTTAGCGCTCAAACTTAAGTGTAAACAGGATAGTACTCTCAATTCTATTTTAGGTATTGGTGCATCTCACCAACAATCAAATGTGTGTATTAAAACAAACATTGCATCACGCACGAGTAATTTTATTGCCAATATCACATGCTTAGTTATGGACAAGATTACTGTACCTCTACCTCACTTTTACGTCCATACTGACAATTGGAACATACCTAAACTACAAGCTCGCACACTGGCAGATCCTAGTTTTCACATACCTAGTGAAATCGATGTACTTATAGGTTGTCAATTATTTTATTCCATCATTACACAAGGTCACATGACTCTAGGTACAAATTTACCACATTTAATTAATTCTGTATTGGGTTGGATTATTTCTGGCACTTTAGTTCTTGATAAACAAGTAGCCTATTGTACATGTATTATTCACAACTATCAAAAAATTAGTCTACTTTCAATTAATAATAGTTATAATAAGATTCTATCACGTTTTTGGAAACAAGAAGAGATAGTTAATAGTAAGCCAGTATTTACTCCTGACCAACTCTACTGTGAGCAGTTTTTTCAAAACACCATAACTGTCGATAACAGTGGCCGATACACCGTTAACATGCCAATCAGTGAAAGTTTAATTAATAATAATCTAGGGAACTCATTTAATACGGCATACCGTTGTTTATTACAATTAAAGGCAAGGTTTCTCAAATATTCTAATTTATACAAAAAACATAAAAATTTACTCACACATGTCATTAGAACAAACAAGTTATTGTCATCTTATTTATGGTGGCATAGACCCAATTGGATCTACTACGATACCAACGAGTGGCCCATTTCTACGCCACAGTTACTTTCAGAACAGGACAGTAACTTAGAATTAATTGAAGTTAAAACACAAACCGCGCATACAGTAACTATACCTTCTACATTATACTTAGATTATTTTTGTAAGTATTCTAATTTTACTAAACTTAATAGAGTTATGTCATACGTATTTAGATTTATCAAAAATACCCGCAGTAAAGAAAAAGACCGTCACTATCTTTCAGTGTCTGAGTTAGATTTTTCGCATAATTTTATTATTCGAATGTTACAAGAACATTACTTTAGTAAAGAAAGGAAAGAATTAGCAACCTTACAAAGTACAAACACATTTACTTTTAAAAGTAGCCCATTACGAAAGCTTAATCCTTTTCTAGACGATGTAGGTATTATTCGTGTTGGCGGAAGGATTAAACATTCAAATATTCAATATAATCATGCACACCCTATCATTTTACCGTCACAGTCACACATTACATCCTTGATCATAGAACAGTATCACTACAGACTTTTACACTCGGGCATACAAAACACTCTTGCCAATCTAAGACTGCGATACTGGCCTATAAATGGTAGAGTCGAAGTTAAAAAGGTAATTCACCGCTGTGTACGGTGTATAAGGTTTAAAGCGCAAACTTGTGAGCAACAAATGTCTTCGCTGCCGAGTCCCAGAGTATCTCTAGTGCGTGCGTTCACGCAGGTAGGTATTGATTTTAGTGGTGCCATTAATATTAGGAGTAATATGCAACGCAATTGTAAATACACTAAGGGATACATCTGTCTAATAATCTGTTTGGCCACGCGTGCAATTCATTTGGAACTTGTTGGTGATCTGTCCACGCATTCTTTTATCAATGCATTGAAGCGTTTTATATCTAGGCGAGGTATATGCACTAGTATTCAGTCGGACAACGGCACTAATTTTAGAGGTTCACATAATGAATTGAACGTATTATACGAAATGTTCAAAAACGATAAATCATATAGTAATATTGTTAATTTCTGTAGCAATAATAAAATAGAATGGAATTTTACGGTGCCTTTAGCTAGCCACATGGGTGGTATTTACGAAGCAGGCATCAAATCTGTAAAAACTTTACTCAAAAGGCAGTTATGTAACAGTAAGTTAACGTATGAGATGCTAAATACTGTACTTGTACAAATTGAGGGTATCCTCAATAGTCGTCCGCTGTGTCCTTTGACCGACGAACATTATGATATGCCGTGCTTAACTCCGGCACACTTTCTCATAGGGACGCCTATTGTGGACTTACCAGAACCAAATACATGTAATGTTAACGAAAACAGATTGTCATTGTTTCAAAGGATTACTCGCTTCAAACAAATGTTCTGGAAGCAATTTTATAAACAGTATTTGTCTGAACTACAGGTTAGATCTAAATGGTTAGGGAA